CAAATTGGAAAATGCGTATTAAAAAGTTGTCAGAATTCTGACTGCAAATAAAGGATTAATTGCCTGGGTTGACATCCGCACAACAAAATTTCTTATGTGGAGCCTTCGGTAAATTATTGGCCATACAATTTCAAAAAATGAGAATAGTATAAATGACTTTTTTTTCAAAAGAGTTTTTTTTCCACAATAGCAGAAAAATTTAATTTTGAGTACAAAAAATAATATGAGGACGTTCTGTAAAAACACTCAAGTAATGTTCATAAAAACAATTTAACACACTGCGAAATATTTTTCGGCTTTTTTGCGAAAAATGCAGTTCTTGTGTTTTCACACTAAGGAAAATAAGACCAGCTATTTTTCTCAAAAAAAAGACTTCCAAAAAAGGAAAAGCAAAATGTCGTTCTTGCAATTAGTCGCCAAATCTTTTCTATGCGTTTTTTTGTTCAAAATTATAATTATTTTGTCTATAATGCAGTCCAGACACATGTTTCTCACACAAAAAAAAATCAAAAATCAGAACGTGTGTTTTTTGTGTCAAACCAGAAACTTTTTTTCTATTTTTCTAAGGTATCAAATATTGGATCTGTTTAAAAAAGGAAAAAACACGAAAGTATTAAGCAATAATCAAAAAAAATTTCTTCTAGAAATGGTTCCTTCAAAAGTGAAGTTTTATGACTAGCTTTTGCTGGCTGCTCGGGTTTGTTTTGTAGTTATTTTGGTAGGAAAGTACGCTAAGTAAATAACCACATTTTACAATTTTGCATGCAAATTGGTTGAGCGGAAAAATTTGTTTCTGCATTGATCAGATTGTCCGACTAAAAGTAATTTTTCCGCAATTTGAAACTTTGCTTTTCAATTTCGGAAATTCGACTAGTCACGTAAGCATTGCTTATCTTACATTTCCATATATGAAAAAAAACGATAATTGAAACTTGTATTATATGCATTTTTCTACGTAAAAACAAAAATCGACATCGTACAAATGCAAATTGGTGAAAAATTATGTTTTTTGTTGTTTTTTTGCAACATTTTTTATGCCTAAAAACTGCTCAATTTTTCTGATTATATAACCACAATTCACAACGGTTGTTCATGTGTAGTCACAAGTGTGTAGTCACAACTAACCACGTTTTTCAACAGCAGATTCTTTTAAAAGTAGATTTTTCTAACCTGCCTTTTGTGTAATAAAATTGGGCAAAAAACAAATGATAAATTGACCTGGGGAATCTCCAATTATAATTTAAAGACAAAAATGCTAATTGGGCAAATTTTTATGCCAAAAAGCTCGGCTATTCTTATGATAGAGGGACCGAATGATGAAATATTATCAGCCAATAAAAATCAGTAGAAATTTGGCAAAACACTTTTGCAAAAAAAGAATACCGACGTCAAAATTTGCAGAAAATAGATTATTGCATGTACAGATTGTGCAAATATATATTTAGTCTTTAATATTTTAGTGCAATCAGTATCTGTGAAAAAATCAAGTTTCTAATGCGTTTTTGATCTAACAATGTTTCAAATTTTTTTCCGATCCGCTTATTTCGTGAAAGAATAGGTCAATTTTAAACACAGAGGCGAAACTGAGCTTCGCGTCACTTGCGATACAAAAAAAAGAAAGCCACTGAGTAAGAACAAAATTCAAAAAGGTCAAAAAAGTTCAGGATCTATCAAAAAAATTAGGCTAATTTTCAAAAATAAAAAACAAGCCAAGGCAATGGAATGTGAAATGAACATCGGAAAAAATTACCAAGCGGTAACAAAGCCGGAAAACACCTTGGCAGAAACCATTTAAGCCAAAAAAAGTCAAAAAAAAGTTATGTTCCTCTAACCCTTCAACATACACACACAAAAAAATATATATATTTGCACGTCGAATGAAACAAAATGAGGCCACTAAGCCGGTGTAAAACTGGCCGAAACCTATTCAACCAAAAAAAAACGGAAAATAAGAAAAAATCTTTAAAAAAATATTAAAAATTAAAGACTAAAAAAAATTAAAGACTAATAAAAAAAGTCCTCTTCAACCTCAAAACACAAACACTTACAAACAAATTTGTTTTGCTCGTCAAAACACGCATTATGGCCATTAAACCGATATAATATAGGCCATAATCTATCAAGCCAAAAGAAAAAGAAAAGAAAAATTGCTGGAAAAAAGTTGTTGTCATAAAAAACTTGAACTAGAATGTCTGTTAAAATTTTTAGCTTTTTGTGCAATCCAGAAATGAGCATGAAATTTTTGTTTTCTTTGAAACGAATCGAAATTAGGTCACTAAGCCGAAATCATTTAGGTTGAATAAAAGTTTTAAGCGAAAAAAAAACATAAAAAACAAGGCTAGTAAAGTTACAAACACCAGAGATAAATCAGGACACTAAAGCACTACAATAAAAAAAATTTCATAAAACACCAAATCTACAATATGACAACTAAGCCGACAAAACATTGGCAGACAAATATAGAACCGACAATTGTTTGGGAAACAGAATTTTTCTTGCTTAAACAAAAAATTAGGTCCCGTCAGATTCAAACCCAGAACCTAGGCGTATTCGTTACCTCCCGACCAAGTGTGCCGGAGAATCAAAGCAATTAGAATTAATTAGGAACTGAACCTAACTTTAGCATTTCCAATTTTTACCATTCTATGCCAAAAAATTGATATGGGTAGTGCGTGCTGTTTTGCAAGTTCTAATAACTCATGGGCGGCAACTTAATCCGGCGAAGATATCGTTCCACTTTGAATTCAAACAAAATTTTTGATTTCTATGAACTTACAAGACAAGACGTAGAATAAGTATTAAGTGCTTGAGTATGTGGAGGGGTTTTTAAAACAAATTAATTGCGTTGAAATTGATTGATTTAGAAATAAAATTTTAACCTGTCAACTAAGGTGCTACGAAAGCCCACGGATATTAACATCTGTGTGTCTAGAGTTTTGCAGGTAAGCTTTTTCAAATGAAAAGGTTAGACGGCTATTTTTTTGTTTTTCCCAGCTGATTTTTTACAGAAAAAATTCTGGGTCAAACTGTGTGCTCATGCTTAGGGACTAATGTGAGAAGTTAGATCTTTGTGAGTCGTAAGACCTTGCTTCCGGGAAAAAATTTTTCCGCGATCTTCGGTTTCTACAGCTGTTGAAGACGTACGTAAGAAATTTCTTGTAACTTAATTATTGTTTCGACTTTAGAGCAGAACGGAATATTATGCTCGATGTGGTTTATTTTATTCAGTCAATTTTCGCCGATCGAAAAAATAGTTTTCAACAAATTTTTTCATTTCACATTAAAGATATTGACTTCGTGAGCTAAAAAATTAAACAGATATTCTACCTCCAATTATTTTCTGGAAGTTCATGGAGTTTGAAAGTTGGCGAATTGGCCATGTTCTGGAAAAAATTATGCGCGCTTTGAAGAATTTTTTTTTACTGCTGAGAGCTTAACGCGAATTATTTATGCGTGGCTACTTATCCCGCACAACAAAATCGTCCCAATTTGAATTGAGGTTAGCTATTTGGATCGGCTGTTTTGATTTCATACGGCTCAACATTTCACACATAGATACTGTCCAAAATTTAGAAATTTTCCCTAATTTCTTTTCCCAAAAACTATTCGATGTGAAGTAACGTACAGTCGGAACATTCAGGGCTGTGCCCTGATAAAAAGCAGTTTTGTTTCCCTTCAATTCAATTAGGAACTCAAAAATACTAATGAATCCAGGAGAGTTATTGTTTTAGTCAAGTTTAATGCATTTTTCGAAAAAATATTCTTCATTTATTTCATCGGTTTTTTTTTCAAAATACTTAGAGAATTTTTGAGCTGCGATTTTTATGTTCTGGTTATTCCAGTTTTAAATATTGATCTTGAAGCAAAGGTCAAGAGTACGCTGGGTATCAAAAGAAATTACCAGAATTTTTTGACCTTTTTTATTGATGCATTCATTCATTGACCTTCTCTCAAGAATTTTTGATAAGTCATAATCAAACCGGATTATTTTTTAAGCTATTAATTTTTCTTTTTAGATAATTAACATAAATTTTAAGATAGAAATAATTAATTCGAAAACTTTAAGAATAAAAATATGAATGCTTGCGATGTAATTAAATTTTTCACATGGTTCTCATTTGCGTTCTGCTATTAAAAACGATATTTCTTATAAAAACTAACTATCGGGTTAATCGGTTCTTTGGCTACGATTTTCATTTCTGCTATGCCGGTTCAACAAATCAGTGAGTGCGTTTTGACAAACAACAAGACCAACAGCGGTAATAGAATCAGGGTGCAGATATTGTGATGATTCTGGGGGCCTTTAGCCTCAAAAGTTGAACCTGGTTGCGTGAAAAAATTACGGTGAAACAACAAAACCAGGCATCAGATATGTAGAATCAGTTTAATTTTTAAGCTTCCATATAATTGGTTTGGCAGAAAGGCAAACTGGTTACAATCCAGCAATGTGGGCCGGCCTATTTGCATGCGTGCCGTAAGAATCTTTCTAAATCTTCTAAAGAGATGCATCGTCTGATAAAAAATCTTGCAAAGTTTTGTAAAGAGGTGCATAATCTTATGAAGAAACTTTTAAGGTTCTTGCAAGATCCTGCAAGACTACTCTCCTAAATCAATTAAGTAATCACTGGACGGATCTCAGCATCAGATAAACAAGTTAATTTAAATTTTCAGTTCGAAAATAAGAAATATATTGTAAATTTGTGTAAGTCATGCACTCGCTCGAAATAAGATTAAAACTTAACAATTTTGAACCCGTTTTTCCCGACTCCGGGAAAACCTTTTGAACTTTTCAATGTTTTTCAAATCACTACGTAAGGGCTTTAATTTAAAAATCCATTTCTCCCATTCCAAAGATTATTCGCGAACCTGAGTTTGCGAGGAAAACCAACCAAAAGCGCACCGAAGACCAAGTTTCTCCGCATTTTCAATAATCGGAAGAAAACTCTTCAATTAAGTTTTTCAATAAGCTCTCACTGTAAAATCATCACTAAGTTCACTAAAGCATTGTCAAGATCACCGCGTTTTTTCAGACTATCTACATCAATCAAACTACAGTAGTTATTATAATCAGGGCGGGAGACTAAAATGCAGTTTCAGTTTTGGTCAGATGGATGACGTCATAATTTGTTCCCCCAATCAGCGTGAGTCCAGTTGTGACGTCATTATCAATCGCGGTTATGGGGTTTGAACCGGATCCAACAGCTAGTAGGGGCTGAAAATGAAATAGATTTAGGATAGGTGTCTGAAAAAATATGGATAATTACGGTGATTCCTCGAAACTGGAACAATTCATCACCCACTTGAATCGACAAGCTTTTCAACGTCTTCACCTAGTTTCAAGCTATTTTAAAAGTCGAAATAGTAAAATACTGAAGATTTTGAGGAGGCAAATTTGAATTCTAAAACATTTTTGTCGTCTAAATCTTTTATCGTGTTGTTTACCTAGAGCCTTATTAGATCAAATTTTGCCACTATGGACTTTTTTCATGAACATTTCTATACCTACAATTTCGGACTAATAGAATTACAATAGCACTTTCTCGTTGAAAAAAAAACCTATAAAAAATAAGAAAAAAATGTCGTTCTTTCTTTAGTCGCAAAATCATTTCTACGCTTATTCTTTTTTCTAAGAGTATTTTTTGTCTAATACGCACTCTAGGCAGAGTCTTCTCACACAAAAAAGTCAAGATGTTTTTCTGCGAAACCAGAAATTTTTTCAAAATTTTTCCTATTGCAAGATAAATTTCAAGTTTGTCAAAAATAGGAGACAAAGCTAGTCGGGCACTTTCATAGTCCAGAAAAAATGCTAACAGCACAATTTCAAAATGTAGAGAAAATGCTGATGGTAGAAATTTCAGACCAATTTCTAGAAATTAAATGCGCCACAAAATAGGCCACTTTTTTCTACTGCCGATTTTTTTTCAAGGTAGAGATTTTCTAACCAGACACAAAATCGTTACATTTTTGTATCAAAACTGTATAAGCGTCAATTGAAAAACTGGCCAAGCGAGTCTTCAAATGCAATTTGCAGACAAAATTTATTAATCAGCCAATTTGTTATGCAAAAATGTTTGGCTATTCTCATGATGGAAGACAAATAACAAAATATTATCAACCAATCAAAATTAGTAGAATCTGGCGAATACTTCTGAAAAACTGACACCGAGGTCAGAAATTGCAAATTGATTTTCGCATGTACAATCAGTGTTAATACATACTTTGAGTTTTCTTTTTTAATTTTTTCCGCAATCCGTATCTGTGAAAATTCAAATTTGTAATGCCTCTTTTATCTAGCGTTGTTTGAAAATTCCTGCTTCTGCAATCTGCTTGTTTTGTAATCGAGTCTATCAATATTAAATTTTATGGCTTAGATCTATTTGTTACTTTTAGTTTTTCGGTTTTTTGAGATTTTCAAATAATGAACTTTGATTGGCTCAAACTGTGATCATTTCATCATTCAGTTTCCCATCATTCATAATAAAAGTCTTCACTAGAAAAATGCATAATATTTCTATTACTTATTTTAGTGTAGGGACATAAGTGACTAGCTTTTTTCACGTTTTAAAATTATATGACAAACATTTTGTCTAAATACGGGTCATTTTCATATTGTAGCTAATATGAGTGTATTCAAATGATCAATTAGAAAACAAAATGTTTAGTTCTTCAATAAGCTATGTTTTGGACAAACATACTTTAAGGTAATTTTTTACAAATTCAACCCATACACTGGCCCGTAATTTAATTCAACCTTATTCATTTGGTTGTCAGAACTTCAATTTTTTTCTCAAATCTAGAGAAGTGCACATAGTAAAGCCGAAAAATTTAAAAGTTATCTTTTTCGTTTTCAAAGAAAACAAGACTGCTCGTATCAGGGCGAAGCCCCGAATGTTCCGACTGCCTTTTAAGGTTTATGAAGCAGCAGTAATAACATAAAAACATTAAATGAAATAAAATAAAATGAAAATTTTTTTTTCTAAAATTTGAAATTTTTTTATGAAAATCATCCCCCCACACGCCATATAAAGTACAAAAAGAGAGATTTCGTTCCTTGTAACAAATCAATTATGGCAAATAAGCTTCGCTCAACCAATTTGGAACGATTTTTATGACGGATTAAATCTCCGCTTACGCGTTAATAGCGCGAATTATACCGCGCGTTAATTGTCCCAAATTGGTCAAAATGGCTAAAATGGCAACCTTTTAACCCTCAGAACTTTACGAAAAATGATCGAAGGTGAAATATCTTTTCAAATTTAAGCTCAGGACAACAATACCTTTTGAATGATATAAAAAAACTCCGTCTGAAATGGCTAGTTAAAAAGTCGAAATTTGTCTGAAGAAAAAAAAACCCACCCCGAGCACAAATATTCCGTTACTTTCGTATCGAAAGTCGGAACAATTAATCAATATTTGTGATTGGAGCGTATTTTTTCTCCGGTGGTCTTTGGTTCTCGATAAAAGAATTTGCCTCAAATTTTTCAACAAATTGCTTCAAAATCAAAAAGAAACTAATTCATTCCCTTTTTGTGCTATTCCCAGCTTATAAAGTATTAGCAATTAATTCTGCCATATAATATCTTTGCTTCGGTCCATGACTTGCTTTTGAGTAGAAGTTGTCAGAGTCATGGTTATCTTCTTCTTTTTAAGATACACTTGTTTTTTAGACTGTTTAGGCAAAAAAATTAACAGGTAAAAAAATTAAAATATAAAGGAAACGATTTTTTACAACTAAATACAACTAATAACTGAGTGTTTTATAACGTAACTTCAGAAATTGATTTGAAAAATAACCAAAAGCATTAAAATTTTTGAGTAATTGAAAAAAACTGCTCGAAAAAACTGGAACTAAAATGATACTTTTTGCGTAGTCGCCTTCCAAATTGATATCAAATGTCAAAATTTGCGTACATTGTCTTCAACAATCTCATGTTTTTCTGGCTGCGGCCGGTCTTAGCTCAGTTGCAGTGCGACTTTGGACTTGAACTGAGACAAAAATGAAAATTTGAGCTTTTCCACTGCATTTTTAGCTCTACGGTGTGGTGCTCGATTTGAAAACAATTATGAAAATTTCAAAAAAGAAAAGAACAAATTTTGAAATTTTTTGAGATTTTTTTTCAAAAACTTTCCCCACACTATTTGTCAAGTGAGAGTTGTATATTTTGCATATAACAAAGCGCATTAAATAGACCAAATAGAGTGCCTCAATTTTGTGTGGAACGATTTCTAAGAGAGATAATACAAATGTGCTGGTTTAAATTATCCAGATACAGCGCACTATATATTGTTCCGACTTTCGATACGAAAATAACGAAATATTTGTGCTTGGGTGGGTTTTTTTTTCTTCAGACAAATTTCGACTTTTTAACTAGCAATTTTTGACGGAATTTTTTAATATCATTCAGGAGGTATTGTTGTCCTGAGCTTAAATTTGAAAAGATATTTTACCTGTGATCATTTTTCGTAAAGTTATGAGGGTTTAAAGATTGCCATTTTGGCCATTTTGACCAATTTGGGACAATTAACGCGCAATATAATTCGCGCAATTAACGCGTAAGCGGAGATTTAATCCGTCTTATAAATCGTTCCAAATTGGTTGAACGAAGCTTATTTGCCATAATTGATTTGTAACAAGGAACAAAATCTGCCTTTTTGTACTTTAATGGTGTGTGGGGGATTGATTTTCATCAAAAATTTCAAATTTTAGAAAAAAAAAATTTCATTTTACCTCATTTCATTAAATTTTTTTTTGATATTACTGCTCCTCCATAAACCTTAAAAGGCAGTCGGAACATTCAGGGCTTCGCCCTGATACGAGCAGTCTTGTTGTTCCGTTTTTCGATACGAAAGTAACGGAATATTGTGCTCGGGGTGGGTTTTTTTTTCTTCAGACAAATTTCGACTTTTTAACTAGCCATTTTTGACGGAATTTTCTTATATCATTCGAAAGGTATTGTTGTCCTGAGCTCAAATTTGAAAAGATATTTTACCTGTGTTCATTTTTCGTAAAGTTATGGGGGTTTAAAGATTGCCATTTTGACCAATTTGGGACAATTAACGCGCGATATATTTCGCACTATTAACGCGTAAGCGGAGAGTTAATCCGTCTTTGAAATCGTTTCAAATTGGTTAAAAGAAGCTTATTTGCCATAATTGGTTTGTTACAAGGGCAAAATCTATCCTTTTGTACTTTGTATGGCGTGTGGGGGGATGATTGTGATAAAAAAAAATTCAAATTTTAGAAAAAAAAAATTTCATTTTATTTTTTCTTACATTTAATTCTTTAATGTTATTACTGCTCCATAAACCTTAAAAGGCAGTCGGAACATTCAGGGCTTTGCCTTGATACGAGCAGTCTGGTTGAAATTTAAAACGCTTTCTGCTGTCGAATTGAAATGAAATTTGAGTGAAAACTATGAAAACAAAACATGCCTAAACATTTAGCAGAACTAAAAGGATGCAAAAATTTTTGGGCAAATTAGATGCAAAAATTGGGCCCAAAACTTTACGCAAGAAAAGGATCTTTTTTGATTTCTTAGCCAATCGAAAATTACGCAAAACTATCTAATCAATCACTGACATAATTATGTCCAAGTGAGCCCCTTACGTAGCCCAACAAATTTTAAGAAGGGTATACGAGTTGCATAAATACTTTGGAAGAGCTGGGAAAGATAACGTAAATAGTACAGTTATTAGACACACTACAAGCTTTTAGATGGGTCCTCTGTGACATGCGGAAACAAAACTTTTTACTATACCTCAGAGGTGTGAAAATTGATGAAGACGGCATCTTTAGACCCGGATCCACCGGCCACCACTACTGAATCGTTGACGAATCGACTCGAATAGAGATATTCGCCGTCGTCTTTTCTGCTGGGGAAGCGCACACTTCGCAGCAGTTTGTCACTGTTCGGCTCCCACAGTTGCAGTGCCCTCTTGGATGTCCAGGAAGCTGTCAGGATGGTCTCCAACCCAATTCCACCACATACCTGAGAATAGTTTTTTATTTAATGCCAAATGGTTGGCAAAATCCTTTTCGTCAATGATTCTTAACGCAGGTAATTAATCTAAAGCTGCTACTTTTTGGCGTCGGACACTGACTTTTCATACATTTGGGCAGGTAAAAGCCGTGTTAAATTATCTAATAAATCTGAAAGCATCATTCTTTCAACGATCAAGTTGTTCAATGTCACCGATATTGCCAACAGTTTGGCATTAATTGTAAAATATTCGCATAACGAACGTATAGAATTATCCTAAGAACCTTTGTGTAAAAGTTATTCTAATTTTAATAAAAGTTTTGTTTGCAAAAGCTTCATGTGCAAAAGATTTTTTTGAAAAAAAAACTTTTTTTCGCATGAAAAGCTCGAAACTTTTAAAAAATAATAACATCACTGAATTTATGCCTGTGCATAAAAAATAAAATAAAATAATTTAAAGCACTTGGAAAACACTATGAGTGGTTGCTGTTGCAAATGGTTTAGACAGAGTAAAGAAAGTTTTTCGAATATCTTATTGGTTTAAGTTTTTTTACCCGCGTTTTACGCTGTTTAAGGTGTTGGATGCCATTTACATTATCGTATGAGTTCGTTCCTGTGTTCGTTCATCAGTTCGTTCCTGGGTATAGCCTTTTGCATCTTATCCAACTGAATTCCATCTAAGATACTCGTCAGTACTTCCGGGGGAACAAGAGTAGCGGGAATATATCCTCGCGTCAAGGAACTCAACGCATCGTCCAAGATATACCCGTAATTGTGTACCGCCATTTTGAACGCTATCAGTTCGGCTCTGATGGTGTCAAAAGTCGCTGAGTGGTTCGCAATCACTGTGGAATACTTCAATGTTTGTCCATAGAGGGAGTTCCACCTATACATCTTACAGGCACTTTCCTCCTTTCGTTGGTCGTCAGTCCCACCTAGAACATGCCTCAATAATCCCCTGAACAGTTTGAAGTTTGCATTCGAGTCGTGCGATATCATTTTCAGCTGGGTCTGCGTCTTGTTAAGAGAGTGGCCCAAAAGATGCAACCTCTCCCCAGTCTCGAGTACGATGGTCCGGACAGCCCCATCCAAGAACGAAGCTTCTTTGCCCAGCTCATCCAAGTTCGAGTCTCCGTCACAAAGACCAAAGAAGGAGAAGTAGTGACAAAACCCTTCCTTGAGTATCGGAGCTAACACTATGGCCTTCGCAACTCCTCCCAGCGCTGGCTTGATCCACCTTTTTACTCTCGTGGAGCTCCTTTCGTGCTTGTCGACGAACGTCGTAGCTCGGTTCTTCATCTCGTAGAGCACGGCCTCTATTTCACTAATTTCGTACTCAATGCCTTTGAATGCCTGGTAGGTTAGATTCACAAATGCTTCCGTAGTGATGTTGTCACCGCAGATCTTGCCATCCCATTCTTTCCAGCGATCCGCCAACTTATACTGATGTTCCTGGAAGGCTATATCGAGGAGTGTCCGATTAATCGCAGGGACCACGGGGAATGGTACCGAAACCCAAGAAGTTTCCATTGCGCTCGCAATGATGAGGGGAGTCTCCGCCATGAACACTGCTCCGGCGGTATGGTTGATCGTCACTGCCGATGAGGGCCATACTCCAAGTAGCAAGAGGATTGCCAGCCCGACCAGCCATGAGTTCATATGTAGATTACAATTTACGATCTAAACAGCAATAATAATAAAAAAAAAGAAAGACTAAATGAATAAGACCATCGCATCCCTAAGTATCTATTTTCCCCTGGAATTTGGGAAGCCTATAACCATTAAAGTATAACCATTAGTTTGATTAAAGATGTCCCTTAAGTTTTAAGTTTTGGTCTCCCCCCTTATGAAGTTATAGCAAAAATTTTTTTTTTTTTTTTGCTTTCTACAACCTAATTTATCTAGCTAATAAGTATAACGGGGAAACAAAGTTTTAATAGTGTTTGTCTGATTGGTGTTGGATTTAGCCCCGCTCGAACTCATCAATCCCAAAGCGAACAGGAGGTCGCCGTCTACGACTAGGTCGGCCCTCGCCCTCTGCCTCGTGCTCTCCCCTCAACTCCAAGGACTCGTTAGGTTCTAGCGGAGCGAGTTCCTGGTCCGCTGGCGCGTTCAGATGATCGTCTTCCCTTCTGGTCTCCAGTTCGGCTGCGTCGTAAGTCTCCACTACTTCGGCTTCGTTTTGGTTCGGATCCTCTATTGGGTTAGGGTTCTCTAGGGGTTTGTCGTTCAACCGGGCATTCGGAGGTAGTCGTGAGGCAGGTAACCTCAATGGTCTCAACTCGTGGGTCTCTCCAATAGCCATTTCCAACTCGTCGTCTCTAATTTCAGGGTCGTCAAAGACTCTGACCGACCGTGAAGGGGTCGGACGCTTAGGGTGGGAAGTCTCGTTGGATTGCATGTTCTCCTCTACATACGGCTTCAACATGTTAAAATGCAAATACCGGGTCTTTGCGGGGGTGGAGGGTTTGGCCACCTTGTAATTCACTTCAGAGACTTTGGCCAAGACCACATAGGGCCCATCCCATGGTAGGAAGAACTTCTTCGACTTTATCTTCTCTTTCGCCCAAACCCACACTTTGTCTCCCGTCGCGTACGGTTCTCCATGAACTCTTTTCCGATATTGGTCCTTCTGGCGTCGCTGATTAGTTCCCAGTAGCTCTCGAGCGCTGCTAAGGGCGTCCCGGAATTGCTCGTCGAGCCATTCTACAAACCCATCCTGTGTCGGAACTTCGTCGTAGGGTTTTGGGTAGAACAGGTCGATTGGGTACTGGCATTCCTGTCCATGTACTAGATTGAAAGGGGTCGCACCGGTTGTTCGGTGGACGGTAGTTTTATAGACGAAATTCAAGTAGGGCAATACTGTATCCCATGTCCGGGGTTGTCCGCGCAGTACTTTGAAATGACATCCGCTATTACCCTATTATGACGTTCTACCTGTCCATTGCCTTGGGGGTGGTACGGGGAAGTGCGGGATTTATCGATCCCCAGCAGTCGGCACATTTCGAGGATGAGATTACTCCCAAAGTTCTTCCCTTGATCGGTATGCAGAATGTTCGGTGCCCCAAACTTGAGTACCCAGTTCTCGACTATCTCCCGGGCCACCTCTGCCGAATCCATGGATACAAGTGGGACGGCAATTGCATACTTCGTGAACAAGTCCGTCATCACTAAGATGTGCTTCGCACGAGACTTTGCTGCCAACGTCACGGGCCCTAGGATGTCCGCCGCCAATGTATTGAATCGGATCCCCACTTTAAACGGGACAAGCCCAGCGACCCTCTTTTTTCCTCCTGTGCTCCGCGCTGCACAAGTGAGGCACCATTGTATCTTCTTCTCCACGTCTGTCCTCATAGTGGGCCACCAGAACCGTTGACGAATTCGAGCGAGGGTCTTTTCAACTGCAAAGTGTCCGCCGCTAATCTGCGAGGAGTGCAGCTGGTTGAGGATCTCCTTCCGCCCGGTTGCAGGAACAATCGTCTGCAATACCGGACGCAAGTCATCCCTTGGGAACCATTTTTTATAAAGCACCCCCCTCGGATACTTAGTTCGTTCCATCTAGACCAGTAAACTAGGGCCTCGGGTCCGTACTGTATCGCCTGCTCTTTGGGAATGAGGTTTGTCCCCAGAGATGGCATATCACCCGCGTCGCCTCTCGACTCCGCCCAATAGAACACTTGAGACATCGCGTCATCCTCTCTTTGCAGAGTCGATATTTCAGAGGGCGTCCGTTCCCAGGTAATCATTTCTTCCTCGTCCTCTTCCTGGGTCTCGCTGATCATTGTGACAGTTTCGACTTGGTGCTGCTTTGCTTTCTGTAAGGCCAATTCGAGAGACATAGGCTCTGGGCAAGACCCGAATGCCTTCCCCTTCTCCCCTGGCATCCAGTCGGGCCCTTCTTCTAGCATCCTGGAAAGGCCATCCGCATTTCCATGTTTAGCCCCAGCTCTGTGGACTACATTGAAGTCAAACTCTTGAAGTTGCTGTTGCATTCGGAAGGTCATTCCATCGGGTTCCTTCTGCCTAAAGAGCCATTGAAGGCTGGAGTGGTCGGTGCGAAGGACAAATTTTACCCCCCAGATGTAGGGTTTGAACCATTTCACCGCTTGCACTACAGCCAAGGCTTCTCTTTTTGTCGTTGAGTAATTCGTTTCTGTTTTTGATAGTACCCTGCTAGCGTACACAAGTGGTCTCTCCTCCCCGTTGATGACGTTCGAGAGTACAGCGCCCAAGCTGGTATTGCTCGCATCCGTGTCCAATATGAAGGTTCCCGTATAGTCAGGAAATTCCAGAACTGGGGCCGTAATAAGTTCTTTCCGTAGTCTATCGAAGGCTATCTGACATTCGTCGTTCCAGATAAAGGGCACCTTCTTTTTCGTCAAAGAAGACAGGGGACTCATAATCCCGGCAAAGTCCTTCACAAATCGACGGTAGTAATTGCAGAATCCGAGAAAAGACCTCACCCCCTTAACTGTTTTGGGCACTGGCCAGTTCTCAACCACTTCAACTTTCTTGGGATCCACTTGGATACCTTCATTTCCAATTATCTGGCTCAAATAAGTCACCTCCTTCTGTACCAACCTGCATTTCTTCGGCTTCAGTTTCAAATTTGCCTCCCGTAGTAGCTGGAAGGTAGCCTTCAGGTGTGCAAAATGGTCGTCTTCGCACTTGCTGTACACCAGCACATCATCGAGGAATACTAGGGCCCACTTCCACAGGTGGTCCCGAAACAATTCATTCATGAGCCGCTGGAACGTTCCTGGAGCATTGGACAGCCCAAAGGGCATCATAACGTACTCATAGAATCATCCTCCATCCGGTGTCACAAAGGCTGTCTTGTGTCGGTCTTCCTCGGCTACTGGCACTTGCCAATACCCACTCGCCAGGTCGAGGGAAGAGAAGTACTTCTGCCCGTTAAGAGCATCGAACGTTTGATGTATCTTCGGAATCGGAAATGCGTCCTTGACCGTTACATCATTCAGCTTCCGATAATCCACACAGAACCGCCA